CCACTAAGGCTGGGGCGGGGGGGGGGGAGCGTCTAGGGCTGCGGGGGGGACAGAGGGCAAGGCCCGGAGCTCACAATTCCAGAGGATTTTGACCAATCTAATAGATTTCTGGAGAAAATCTGAAAAATATAAGGCTGTATAAATTTCAATTTTTTTTTTTTATTTATAGCTAATTATATATTTTTATAGCTGGAAGTTAGTAATTTTTTAGCTAATTATATATTTTTATATTTAAGTCATGACTAAATTTTCCTCAATTAAATCGACTAATTTAATTCTATTTTTTTAAATATATGTATGTATCTCGTATGTGATGTTTTTGAAATGTTCTTCCCTACTTTTGTTAAACTTCAATTTTGATTTGATTTGAGATTGTAATAAAGTTCTTCGTATTTCGTACAAAAAGGATTACCAACAACAGATAACTAAAATATGAAAGATCCAATCAGCAGTTGCACATTTGAAACGAAGAAATAAAAATCTTACACAAACATTTTTAATGTTTCTGTGAATTGACCAGCTGAGATCTAAAATGACCAACTTATTGTCTTGGTGGGGAAAACTCCGACACTGAATAGGCCTGGACTTTTGTGATGTTCCAACGACTTCCTAATGGTAGACCTAAATCAATACAATTTTAATCAAATTACTAAAGTAGTAGCAAGGCTTATTGAAAGTCAGCACAAAAATGTCGGCACAAAAATCTGTTTCATTATCGAAAGACATTTCGGACCGCACAACATCGAATTCATCAGTGAGTTTTTTCAGTTTTTTCAGCATGGTAATCTAAGAGCTGAGGGTGGCACAACTTGAAGTTGTAGCAATAGGGCTCTATGCAGAGGCGAATCCAGAGATTCCAAAAATGGGAGGTGGGATCGAGAGACAACACTTCTCTAGGGGGTCCGGGCATTCCCCGGGAAATGCTTGTTTTCTGACTACCGAAAATAGCCTCTGGGGAAGCGAGCATCTGGGCTGGGGCATCACGCTACTGTAATATGACTTCATATTTGTTGTAATTTCCAGTGGCAGATCCAGGAATTCGAAATAGAAGGGACCAGGAAGGGTACTTTCACAGATAGAAGATCTATACCACCTCAGCCCCAACCATGGTGGGGCTGAGGAAAGAAAATTTGTGATTATGGCACCTCTAGATGGCCGGAAATTGCACTTCCAGACATAAAATTTGAACATAATTATCTTTATATCTCCATTTCCTTGAATTTGCCACTGGCTACTTTAGCAAATGAAGGATCTACCACCTATATTTTATAATGATAATAATAGGTCAATTTTTAAGGTGTCTAAGCACCAAATAATAATAATAATAATAGTGTTCCCCCTCCCAAATGATATTTTTTAAGAATAGGAACCTCTGGGTGGCCAGAAATGACACTCTGACTGTGACAGGCATGTGTTGGTTTGGCGTGGGCCTAGGCCTGTCAGATGGGGTGTGGGCTTGACCTGTCCGGTAGGGGGGGGGCTTCCCCCGCTGGCGCCGCCACTGGGCTGAGGTAAGAAAATTTGTGATTATGGCACCTCTAGATGGCCGGAAATTGCACCCTCAGACTTAAAAATTTAAAAATAAACTTTCCTTATATTCCCATTAAAAAACAAAAAAAACCAAAAACCAATTAATTCCTGTTAAGCGAAAGATTTTTTTATTCGAAAGATTTGTTTTTACTCAATACAGTTTTTACTACCTATAACACATTAACTACAGTGTACTGTAAATTCTGTAAACCTTTAGAGAATTTTATTTAAAAAAAATGGCCTAATTGATTATCTTATTGTTTTCGTTAAATTAGATGGAGTTTAAATGTGGATATATTCCGCTGTTTGAAGGTTTACTGTAAGCCAATCAGTTAATTACACTTAGGTATACTATACATCTTCGTGGTTAGTTTAAAGAGAAGTAGAGCGTCGTTCCATTAAGAGTGCCTACCTCCCCCATAATTATGCCTAAATACAGAATTCACGAAGGCAGGCGACTTTTTCTTCATGCTTGAGGGTGGTTTCAAGGAAAATTAACAGACGCGCGTATACAGTCGTCAATTAACATTTGGCTGCTCAACTCAAAATGGGAACTCGTTAGAAAATGAAAAAAAAATCTAATCTAATAATGACATTGCAGCGTTCATAAAATGTTTGTCACTGGTGCTGGCAACAGTCACAAAAGTGGGGGGGGGGGCCAGTAGAAAAAGTGGGTGTGCCAATTCTCCCTCCCCCGCTTCCGCCGCCGTTGTAACCTTGTAATATATTTTCTTTACATTTTTTCATTCTCCGACAAATCTACCACTTCCGCCGACCGGACGGGTGAAGGGGCGTGGGGGGGGGGGTTATTGTGAACAAAATAATTGTGACATATAACATATACATGTGCAACATGAAACTTATTTAATACAATTAATATAAAATTATATCTTAATAATAAAAAGTTGAATTACAATTTTCAATTTCAATTTATTCAATATTTGATTTCAAATTTTCAATTAAAAATTCTTACGATAAAAAAAAGATACAATTTAATACACACTAAATAAACTTTCAGTGCAGGAGGTCTCGCGCATAAACTTTCCTGTTCACCAAAAATCGTACAGCTTAGGGAAATGAATCCAACCGTAACACTGACTTTAACCACTAGGCCTATTTCGCTTAGTTTGATTTCAAAGCACACAAGTATCACAGATGAATAGGTCTACCCTTCATTACAAGATGTATAGAGATATGCTTCAAATTGAAATTATGATAAAATGACAGTTGTATTTATAATATACCAGTTTACAGTTTGGCTTTGAGACTTTCCACAGAATTAGGTCTACAGTGCCAACTTATAAGCTTTCCTAGATCTGTTTATAGTTTGGCAAGCATCGTCAGTTTTCCAATGATACATTGGAGCATAGGAATTTTTTTTAACGTAGGTTTATTTGTTCCAGTGGATCGATAAAACAGAGAGACAAAAATATATAAATATAAAAATAATTACAGTAGCCCAAAAACTAGAAAATACTAATCAATACAAAATAATTTATAAAATATGACAATAATTATGTAAAATTCGTATTTGTTAAATCCACAATTTATCTTACGAAAGTGGGTGTATGCACTCCCACCCCAAATATCGTAAAAGGTTCACATCAAAGTAGATCAAGGAAGAAGGTAGATCAAAGCATATTTTTAAGAAAGTCGAGAATGTACTGAATAAAACATTTGCTATTTTCTGTAATGATGACTAAAAAAGATTCGAAATTCTTGAATTTAAACCAGTAGTAATCTGCCGTTAGGACGGTATTTGGGAATTAAATTTGCCATGAGAATAATAATAATAATAATAATAATAATAATAATAATAATAATAATAATAATAATAATAATAATAATAATAATAAAAATAATAATAATAATTTTGGCTTATATAGCGCATTTTGCTAAAGCGTCAATACGCTAACAATAAAAATGAAAATGCCTTGAGAAAAAATTTGAGAAAAGTACACGTTAAAATGGTGAGTTTTTGTGTCTACTGCCCCCAACAGGGCGTAGACACTACCGTATGTCATGATGTAGCAATTAAAGATGGCGGAAAAGGGTAAATCCGGTTAGGCATGATGGGTATTACCACTACCACGAGGTAGGGGGCGCTCTATTGACAATCGAATAGCCTTCGGAACTCGAACAAAATTGCGTTCGAAACTTTCACAGATGGAGAGTCTAGACCACCTAAGAAAATGTATGATTATGGCACCTCTAGATGACCGGAAATGACACTCTCAGACCTAAATATGAGTAAAATTTTCCTTTTCTCTCCACTAAAAAGGATTAGGGGTAGGGGAGGGAGGGAGGGCTGGGTGCTGGGCCGGCTCGGCCCCATTTGCGAATCGAATCTCCCCAAATGACAATCAGATTAATCTGTAAAGATGGTATTAAATATTTGAGAAATTTTGTGCCCAAGACCTTCCATTACTGTTTGATTAATTAAAATTATTGTTAACAGTTACACGACGCCAAACATTACTAGGACCTGTGATTTAAGTCCTCTAGACTTCCATTTAATTTGGATAATAATTTACATAAAATAAGAGAAGATAAGGGAGAATTTGTTTTACGTACGGTATGTTGTATTATGATTTCGTATGTCAGTGTTTTTGAATATTTTGTATACACTTCATTTCAGATAAGAGCATGGGTACAACACTGACAAAATCATGTAGAACTGGAGGCGGCATGGAGCAATCTCAGATAATGCTACTGGTGGCAGCGTTGAAAGACCAGGACAACAAGACCGTCATTAGGCATTTCAGAGACACTACTTCTCGAGAGAGAAACACCTTGTTACAGTTCTGTATCCGTTCCAAATTATACGAAGAGGTGAATTTCTTATTGAAGTCTATTAAAGGAAACTTAGAAAAAAAGTATCTTGAATACCTACTTATGGTAGCTGCAGAGAAAGGTCTGTTAACGTTGATTGCTACGATTCTCGAGCATGACGTTGATGTCAATGCAATTTCTGCAAAGGGACATTCACCTTTGTCATATGCTGTAAAATACAAGCATTCGGAGGTTATAGTTGATCTTGTTGCAGCAGGCGCCAATACTAATTTTATTGACGATAACAAAAATAGTGTTTTAATTCAAGCCATTGGAAATGGAAACAATTTCAAGACCATTTCTGTTCTTCTTGATAACGGAGCTGATTTATCTATAAAGAATTTAAGGAAAAGAACAGCCTTGTTTTACGCAGTTGATGAAAATATGGTGGACGTAGCAAACCTGCTACTTGACAAAGGTGCAGATATTCATTCAATTGATGATGAAGGCACAACTGTATTAATGGTATCATCATATAGAGGCTACGAGGAGATGACCAAGATGTTGCTGCGCCTAGATTCCAACATTGGAATCAAAGACAACTATGGATACACAGCTCTGATGTGCGCCGTACAGAACAAACATTACGTGCTCACTAAAATGATAGTTGACAAATATCGGGCAATGCGGTCTAGAAATGCTGATATTATGGAATCCGCGAAGCTAGCCATTGAAGATGACCTCAGTGAAATTTTAAAAATATTATTACACGAACAAAATTTGCTTACAAACTCACAGCTTATTACATTACTTACACTGGCTTTGGAAAATAGTTGTGAAAAAGACATCATTGTGGCTGTGCTGAGTCAATACAAGGATCTACTGTTTTACGCAGCTTCAAATCCTAAGCATGAATCGGTATTGAAGATGTTAATTACCAACAAAGTACCTATGAATTACCTAGACTGTCAAGGTAATTCGGTATTAATGTACGCTGTGGCAAGAGGTAGTGAAAATATGGTCATAGAGCTCCTCCATGCAAATGTAACTGATGTTAACATTAAAAATCAATGTCAACTGGACGCTCTTTTTTTTGCAGTTTTCGTTGACGATGTTAATAAGGCAGAAGCACTGTTAAAATCCAAAGCTGATGTTAACGCAATTGAAGAAAATGAGTGCACACCATTGATGTACGCCGCACTGCGTGGTTCAACCGACATGTGTCGGTTACTCCTACGATATGGCGCCAACGTTAATCTCACTGAAAAAGAAAATTTTAGCGTTCTTATGGTCGCAGCTCAGAATAATCACGTTGAAGTGGCTAAAGAATTGTTAGTCTACGGTGTAGACATTGCACAGAAAAATGACTACGGTCATGATGCTCTTTTCAAGGCAGTGCAGAATAATAATGTTGATATAGTTCGACTGTTACTTAAACATGGAGCTCCTGTAAACTCAGTTGATATTTCTGGTAACACACCGTTGATTGAGAGCTGTCGTGTCAGTGACTCCATTGACATTGTCAACGTGATACTGGATGAAGGAGCTGATGTAAACAAGCAAGGTGAAGATGGATTTTCTGCTCTAATGTGTGCTTGTAAATCAGGCTCAACTTCAATTGCCGATCTGCTAATACTGCATAATGCTAGCCTCGAACTCACCAACGATTTGGGCCGTGATGCCTTTCATATTGCAATCTACAACGCACACGTGAACCTTGCAGCTTTTCTTCTGCAACAATCAAAAGCGAGTCTGAACAAAACTGACAAAATGTCAAATACTCCACTGATTACAGCCTGTTCTAAAGAAAACATAGAATGTGTGAAAATGTTGCTAAAAGAAGGAGCCTCGTATTTGTACAGAAATCAAAGAGGCTATACCGCCCTCATGTCTGCAATACAGCTAGGCAACGAAGATTTAGTTAAAATGCTAATAGAAAATATGGAATATCCTTATCAAACAGGAATGACAACAGATATGAAACAGTATGAGCTACATACCAACAATCCATTTACCGATGGAATCAATCTGACATCATTCACAGCCTATAAAGAACAACACCACCTCATTCATATCGTATCTCATAGCAACAAAAAGAACAACTTTTTGCATCACAGTGAAAATGGGGTTGACGTTTACGCATGTGCTGGGTTATCAGGTGACTCTGAGGTATTAAAAGAAGTACTGTTCAACGACCCGAACGTCTTAGCCAGTGATGATGAGATTGATCAGTTCGTTCAGGTTTTTGAGGACAGCACAAATGGGAACTTTCAGACATTATATGACATGGCGTGTAATAGAGGTGTCATCAGACGATTGGTCAGAGCGGCAATATGTGCAGCGACGAGGCGAAATTCAGCAAAAATATTGAACGAACTATTGCAATGGCACAACAATAAGGAAAATGTTAATTTGTTGAAACTAGTTATTTTAATAGCTTGTCTTTATGGCAGTAATAATGTTATTGAGTTACTCATAACTTTCAACGTTGATGCCAACACCACATTTACACCTTTTGGTGAAACGCCTCTTGTTATTACATTGATGTCAAAGCATGGAAAGGCCTCACAGATTCTTCCGTTGTTAGCACCAGTTACTGATCTTACTAAACGCTTCTCACTACAATTAAGTGCTCAGTATCGAGTGGAGGTAACAATTCTAATGTATGCTTCACTAATGGGCAACTATACTGCTGTTAAAGACCTTATCAAGCATGGTGCCTCTGTTGACCAGACAACTGAATATGGTCTAGGTGCAATACACTTTTGCACATTCGGTCGAAGAGGAATGCAATGTCATGTCGGCCTCACCCATGAAATGAATTCTGTTATGATGTCAAGGAAATCTAGCAGTTCTTCACAAGAGGATCTCATGGATTGCTATTGCGATATATTGAAATTGTTACTAGCTAATTGCGACCATGCTACTAACAAATGTACTGATGATGGAAAATGTCTTCTTTCTTGGGCTGTTGGCTTTCAATTAGAGGATTTTGTTAAACTTCTCAAAGACCACTATTCAACTAGAGTTAACCACACAAAACCACATCCCGGTCATGCACGAGAAAGGCTCCAGAAGGTGGTGCCAAAAGTCTGCAAATATCTGAAAGCCTTGGTAGAAGAAATAACTTTTCACAATACAACTGATGCATATCAACTTCAGAAGAGTTTTGCTGAGAGAATGTCTGAAACATGCACTACATTTACCGATGCGTTCCGAAACATCAATAATATGGATGAGCCAGAAGGTCTATTTGAAAGTTTGCTGGACGATTATGAGGATCCTACAGCGAGTGAATTTAGTACAACAGAGCTTGACAGTTCAATAAATAAGCGAAAGTATATTGAAATTAAGAAAAAAAAGTGAAAGTGATTTAAATTCGACTATTAACAGTCTAAATGAAATCATGGATGTCGTTGGTGATGGCAATGAACCAAAAAATACAAGTTTGCAAATATTTGGAAAACCTCTAACAATGAAATCTGATACTGTACCAGATATTGAAGTGTTTAATAGGCTTACAAATGGACATGAACAGAAAATTACTGAAAAAAGAGCCAAATTGTCAGCTAATCTTGCGTTAACAGACTTGGAACTTAAGGACATCGAACGCGCATGCAAGCATGATTCGATTTTAATACCTGTTGAAATTCTTAAGAAATGGAGGTTAAAGTGGGGTGTAGATGCAACAGCACAGCAATTATTGGATGCATTTGAAGCGACTGAACTTGAAAAGGTTGCTGAGGTCATCAGACTGACGTAATGATGATAATTTTAGTACTTAGAATAGTTATTTAGTTTTATTATTAATGAATCATCCTGATTTTTAAAAATATAAAGTATCTAGTCAATGTTTCAATTGGCTAAATACTGTACATGAATGGCCAATGACACTGGTACCTGGCTTCCAAGTTCAAAAAATCTAATGCCAAGCATTTTCTATGCTGTCTATTCTCAGCTTTTCTTTTAATGTCAAAATAACTGTCACCCTGTTTCATTTAATCAATTAAATGCTGTTCTTTTCCTTTCTCTTTGTGCTTTCCTCTGAAAGCCGCCTTCTAAAACCGTTTTGAGTAGGTTTAAGTGATTACATTGTACATGACCAATCCAAACTCCCTGCCTATGCATACTTTTAGTAGTTCTAGGCCTGGTACTTATAACTATCCAAACCCTATAGGCCAACTAAAAAACAAAAATGTTCCTATGTAACCCAAGTTCAAATAACAATTTTATTATTCTTGCAGCTAAATCAAATATTACATTTGTCATTTTAAATGACCCATTAGTTATTAGCTTGGCAACGTCAAGTGCTTAACAACGGGCTGAAAGCTTCAAATGAGCTTTTTTTTTGTAGGTAACTTGGATCAGTAGGGTAAGGATGCTTTGATCTTTAGTTTTCATAACTATGTCATCAAGTGTTTTGCTTGGCCAAACAATTTTGGTACTTGTGCATATAAGCTTGCAAATATGGATAATTTTTCATTCCTGATGATGACATAATTAATGTTGAAATATTGAATCCCGACACGATGGCGTGCATTTCGATACTTGGAGTATGTATTACAGTATTATACTATCTCAACGTCAATGTGTTTTTTTCAAAATCAGACAGCAAGCGACAATGCTCTCAGAGGTTTTGTAGACATTTATCTTTGGTTGATGACCTTTTGACCTCTAGAATTGAGATTTTCGAGTCGAGTCAGTCGAGACAGCCCGAGTGGAGTTTCATGCAAATGTTTCGTACGAAAAAAAAAAAAATCGCGCGCACCTTTCCGTTGTCCCTCATACTCCACAGCAGGGGTGGCGCCAGGACCTGCCCGACGGAGGGGCTAAAGGCCCCGACGGGGGGCTAGTGGAGCGAATCGAGTCTTACTTGGCTGGGGGCCAGGGGGGGCCGCTTCCCTGACGGGGGGGGGCTATAGTCCCCCAGCCCCCTCTAGCGCCACCCCTGCTCCACAGCCTTTCCTACATTAATACTTTTCCTTTCCGATGTATCCATTTTGCTTCCCACTCGACGCACAGGGTTCCCGGAACGCCGCCTTCAGCGGCGTGTGCGAAGCACAACCCAGAGTCAGCAGTGGAACGTGATTTTCGATATGGTTTCGAACTTCAGCTACCCTTATTTCTCGACTGAGACGTCAATGGGAGCTGTAATTTGTATGGCAAGGGGATGGTGCTACCCTTAATTCGTATTAAGGGAATTTACGCCCTATGTGGTTATAATAGAAAATTTTTATTTTTTGGCGACGTCAGACTCGCGCTATAGTTAGCATGCATACGTCACAAGCTAGATTACGTCACCTTTTCCTGGTAAGGCAAACTTTCCCGGCGTGCTTTTTTCACGGATAAACAAAACACCACTGTTTGCACATGAATGCCTTGCCTAGCTAGAGCTACAAGAGCCGCATAGTTAGAATATAATACTTAAACAAGGTGTCACGTATGAGCGACAGTGGTTCAAAAAAGGAAGATAACGTTCAGAGATGCTAGACAATAAAAACAAAGTACTCCGGACACAGCATCAAAGTAGTCAATGTAATAGTTTAATGGTTATAATCATCGGTTGATCAAGCCGAACAACGTGCCACATAAGACAAATCTACCATGGATATTGTTATGAATACTCCGGTAACTTAACCCGTACTATACATTGACTATGCAAAACAAATATCGTTATATTTTCTACCAAGACGAATCATACCTCACTATAACTGAGTGGCCAGTTAATACCATACATAGCAGGGACGTATCCAGGGGGGG